GCCGACACATACTCCAGAAAACTAGGTTTACAGGCAAGGTTTTAATGCTCATGCGGCAATTGAGAGTCAGCCGCCACAAACTCAAGAAAACGAGGTTTACAGGCAAGGTTTTAATGCTCATGCGGCAATTGAGAGTCAGCCGCCACAAACTCAAGAAAACGAGGTTTACAGGCAAGGTTTCAATGTTCATGCGGCAATTGAGAGTCTGCCGCCGTATACTCCAGAAAAACGAGGTTTACAGGCAAGGTTTCAATATTCATGCGGCAATTGAGAGTCAGCCGCCACAAACTCCAGAAAACGAGGTTTTCAGGCAAGGTTTTAATGCTCATGCGGCAATTGAGAGTCTGCCGCCGTATACTCCAGAAATCGAGGTTTACAGGCAAGGTTTCAATGTTCATGCGGCAATTGAGAGTCTGCCGCCACATACTCCAGAAAAACGAGGTTTACAGGCAAGGTTTCAATGTTCATGCGGCAATTGAGAGTCAGCAGCCACATACTCCAGAAAACGAGGTTTACATGCAAGGTTTTAATGCTCATGCGGCAATTGAGAGTCAGCCGCCACATACTCCAGAAATCGAGGTTTACAGGGAAGGTTTCAATGTTCATGCGGCAATTGAGAGTCTGCCGCCACATACTCCAGAAAACAAGCTTTACATGCAAGGTTTCAATGCTCATGCGGCAATTGTGAGTCAGCCGCCACATACTCCAGAAAACGAGGTTTACATGCCAGGTTTTAATGCTCATGCGGCAATTGAGTGTCAGCCGCCACATACTCCAGGAATCGAGGTTTACAGGCAAGGTTTCAATGTTCATGCGGCAATTGAGAGTGAGCCGCCACAAACTCCAGAAAAGGAGGTTTACAGGCAAGGTTTCAATGCTCAAGCGCAATTGTGGGTCACCCGCCACATAACTCCAGAAAACGAGGTTAACATGCAAGGTTTTCAATGCTCATGCGGCCTTTGAGAGTCTGCCGCCACATACTCCAGAAAACAAGGTTTTCAGATGATGCAAAATTGAAACTTAATATGGATAAGCAAAATCGACCTGGTTGGAAAAAGGAGTTGTTATTATGGCACGGAACTTTCAATAATTCAATCGTCGGTTTTAAATACTTACTTTAACAGGAGCTATTGTGCAAAAAATGCATATGGAAATGGCGTATACCTTGCTGTTAATGCAAGTCTTTCTGCAAGATCAAAATACAATCCACCTGACGATAGTAGGAAAAGAAGAATATATCTGTGTTGGGTATTAACTGGAGAGTACTGTCAAGGCAAGAAGAGGCTGAAAGTCCAAAAAAGGCCAGTGCTGGTCATATTCTTTATGATTCTGTTGTAAACGATGTTAGCAATCCAAGTATATTTGTTATTTTTTATGATATACTCAAGCTTACCTAGAATATCTCATTACATTCCAGTAATTCCATTATGTGGCTTTTTGTGCATTATATCAAAAATGTATTTTGGCAAAAATAATGAAAGAAACGAGTTGATAATGGACTTTTGCAATCCAAGTGCAAATTTACATTTTAAAAATAGAGTTTATCTTTGCATTGTATGTGTAAGTGTGTTTGACATTATCATTTTTTATGAAACTATATCTCTTTTTTTATAATAAGTTATTAACTTAGTAACTTTTATTATACCTCTGTGAATTTTTTCTATATAAAAATATTACGAATAAACATGCTATTTTTTCCAAACAGCCCCTACCGTGGAATAGTTTTTGTGCTATTTGCCCATGGTGAAATAGTCATTAAACTATTCACCGGGAGCATTCTGTTTCCCTCGCTTTTCATCACGGAACTCTTCTGGTTTTATACAGATTGTGACGTAACACAAGTAAAGACTGCTTCGGTATAATAAAACACTTATTTACTGGCTATGAGGACAATAGCAAGTTTATCGTTCCCCTCGACAGCAACTATTTCCCTCGGCTGCGCCTCGGGAAATAGTTGCTGTCTTGGGGAACGATAAACTTGCTATTGTCCTCATAGCCAGTAAATAGGTGTATAATATATAATATTTTCTGTGATGAACGCATGTTTATTAAAATCATATTACGCTTTGGCATAAAACTGCAAGTTATATAATTTAAATCAAAGTTGCAAAAGACGGAAATTAAAGCATTCAAAATGACATGAATAAGACTAGGGGCTAACTACATATGTGGCAGCGCACTTTGAAAAATTACGCACTTTGAAATTTTTTTCAAAGTGTGTTTAAACTGGGACAAAATCAACGCACTTTTTTTACAAAGTGCGTCAAATTTAGGACAAAATCAACACACTCTGAAATTCTTTTCAAAGTGCGTTAAGAATGTACATCAGCATTTTTTACCATGGAGACACTTAACGCAAAAATTCTGGACTTACAATTTTGTAATAAACAGCGTTATTTTGCTATATTTCTTTCGAAAAACTGACGAATTGATCTACCCTCATCGAGAACGAGGAGAAGACAGGTAGAAGGTCCCTCAGCCCAACTCTTTATCTTTCCTACCAAACATGTGTATGTAAATAACTGGTATGACATTGACATACTTTCTCACAATAAATTTGTGTTAACGTAAAATAGATGAAAAATTGAGCTACGCTTTCCTGAAAAAAATTAAAATAACGCACCATATTACATATATTAAAGAGGAGAGGGTCAGGGGCCATATCCCTGATTTAAGCAACAATAGCCACTGCCTATACTTGGACAAAGTAGCGTTACAAAATCAATACAATACAAACCAAACAAAAACATTGTATAAAAAGCATAAGTATTTTTTGCATACCTCTTAATACTAATCAGATAACTATAAAAAAAATATTTGTGCCATATTTTTGTGGCAATATATTTTTTTTACTGGGAAGTGAGTCAAGTGATAAATGTATAAGAGAAACCACATTATAACAGAGGTATAAGAAACTCAAGTAAGAATAATTGCCCTTAGCACTGAATTTTTATACATAAAATCGAAACTGTTTTATATAGTGAGAGACTTGAATATTTCAATTGATATCTGCTATATATTTTTTTGTTATTATTAAATGTATAAACTGATGGGCTATATTGCTCAAGGTTATATTCTGAATAAACTTGTGACACGACCCGGTGTGCTTACTGTGCAACTATGATACAGAACACTTTTCAATTGTCGTTTCTCATGCAAATGAACAATTCTGTGCAATAAAAATGAAGAAAACTATATCCGTGTCAGGCCCGTAGGAAGCAATTTCAGTTTGGGGGGGCACAGACACTATCAACTACCAAAATTCCTTGACAAGCAAAAAAAAAAAAAAGGTCATCAGCCGTTTTTATTGAGGGGGCACAAGCATATAGTAGCTAAGTTTTCTATAGTATTCTATATATTGGTAAAATTATTGGGGGGAGAGGCACCCCCCGTGCCCCCCCCCCGGTTCCTACGGCCATGCGTGTCTGATTGCAAACACTGTTAGTCAATGGGATCAAGTAACTACTGCATATTATTGAAAATCAAGACCAAAAAAAAAATCCTCAGGGGCGTCGGCAAATAGGCGAACTGGATCGAAAAAGGGGTGAGGTGTCCTAACTAATCTGTTTTGACTTGAATTCAGATTTTCACTTAAATCTTGATATTTTCCCTATATTGTCAATAGTCTAAAGGCACCACCTAATTAAAATTGAAGCTGTTTTTATGTGTGTGTGTGCGTGTTTTTTTTTTTAAATTACATTTTACGTCATGAGCAGATATTATGAGAACACGTACGGAAATAAATAGAAGAATGCTTTCAGTAAGAACTCAGAACTGCGTCGCACAAAGTTGGAAAAGCAGTGTTGAACCAGTTTCCTACACACAATGTATGGTAGAAAAAAAAATTTTGGCCACGATTTTTTTCATGGCCAGAAATCTTTCTTTCATGACCACGAATTTTATTTCGTAACCCCCCCCCCCAAAAAAAAAAAGAAACTCGTACTTTGTTCTATACTAGCCCCCATCTGCTTGTGAATTGCAAGCTGAAGAAGTAAAAGAAAGAACAACTTAAATATTAACTTACGACAAAGATGATAAAAAGGACCAACATCATTGTCTGTGTTTTAATTTAATAAATTTGGTATTCTTAAGCTACTAGGAAATTATTATTGCTATATGAATGACCCTCATTGTATCTTTATCAGGTTAAGTGTCAATTATCAATGAGTAATGGATACCATGTCGATTTATCTTATTTTTTGTTGTTGATGAGACTTTCGAAATGAAGATCCAAACATTTCCGGTGTTCCATTTCAAGGAACGAGATGCAGACGACTTGGGGTTCCATGTTGATTTTGGACCGTTTACACAGATTCCCTGGAACAGTATGGATTATCTGAGCGCAAGTAGCTAGTTGAGTGGCGATAAATCGTTCTGAAGACTTCAAGTACAGTCATATACACATTTCATTGTTCACACGTGGGTCTGTATGTACGGCCAATGAATGACACTACTCTCTCCTCTCGTGCAATAAATATTGTTTGCACAAACATGGTCTATGACAATGAAAATTTAGGATTATAGTTGACATTTTTACTCCGAGATTTTTTTTCTTGAAAAGAAATCACGATTTTTTACTCATTTTTCAACTTTGCAATTTTTCTCTTGTTACGGGGTGAATGAATATACAACTTAATCCGTCAAAACGTGTGTGCGACCTTACAATACAGGAAGGAGTAGCATATTGGAAAAACTTAATAGCTTTTTGAGGAGATCTAACGTTGTCCGAAATCTTGAAACGACATTAAATTTTGCGAAAAGGATCCAAAAAGGCAACATCAAATGACGAAATTGACCCTATAAAAATCATACCGTTTTGAGAGAGACTGAAAACGTATGTAGAGTGGAAAATATGAATGTTTAAAGGGTCGATTTATTGCCAAAGTCTTCGTTTTAAGAGTCTCTGTATTTACACTCATCAGCATTTTAGTTTGTGAACAACAGAAAAATATTTTTCGATGTTTGTTCTCATTCCGAGCTTTTGAGAGATGAAAACAAAACGTGATCATCAAAAATGTCGTTATAATGAAATGTGTTTTTTACATTAAGTAAAATCTGTGTTACAAGTTTAAGAAACACACGGGTTAGATTATGGAGAAGGATTGTAACGCCAAAGTTCAGATGCCGGACCTCTCTCAAGTTGAATACATAGGGGAAATAAAGGAAGTGCCCGCGTGGGAAATGGGGGTAAAAATCACTATAGGTGTAAGTATAGAATTAGTAGCAATCGTTGGAAACCTCCTCATGATCATTATCATCGTCCAGTCTCCGAAAATGAGGAATGTCACAAATTACTACATCTTGAATTTGGCCATTTCCGACATGTTGGTGGGACTTTTCGCCATATGGATTCACCTTGTGGATGATTTGACTCAGGGATGGGTCCTTGGAAGTTTTCTCTGCAAGTTCAACCCATTCATGCAAAGTAAGCTGACACATCCTCTATATAAACAAAATTGTATCAATACAATCTAACAAACCCAAAATCTAGATTTTGTTACAGTTTTTCCTTGTTTCTTCCATCGATTTATCTAAAAACAATTACTTTTTAATCTTCTAGGCCGTATTTTGGTATACAGGGTGTTTGCAGAATACTTTACAGTTCCGAAAGTAGGCAGAAGATGAAACACTATATAAAATAATTTGATAATAAATAAAAAAGTTAGCAATATTTCATCTGAATTACTGAGATTATGAAATTCGAAAATGGAAATATTGTATGATTTTCTTTGATATATAAAGGTATCAAAGAAACTTTATTTAGCAATTTTTAATGATGTATCGATATATCACAAAAATAGCATTGGTGGAATATTTTATAATGGAGAACACGAAACAATCAAACTACTTGACTAATTCTTCCAAGACTTGTTCAATTTAATTAAGATTTAAAAATGAAAAGTCGTAATGTTATTTAAAAGGAAATTAGAGCCTATAAGTTTATTTCATGAGAAGTAATAAGTGATGTATCTCCCCTCTGTTTTGTTTCAAAAATTTCAGCCAGAAAGGAGAAAACAAATGAAAATTTATAATAAAAAATAAAATGACTGGACAGAAATATCACAATACATGTATCTTCAATGTCCAAATCTTATTAATCTATATATTAATTAAATTTAACATAGTTCAAGAATCCTCATAATTGTGCATACGGTGTATATATACAAGTAGCTTTTGCACATTGTCAAGTAAATCATAAAATGTACAAAGAACAAAAAAATATATTGCAGATATTTAAAATTTGCAGAAAACACTCCAATATTTTGAAAATCAAGATTTGTAAAAGCTGATCACACAGTGACGCAAACAGAAAAAAAAGTTTCTCTCCTAATAGTGGTCTACTGTATCAATCTTTGCAACTGAAAGAAAAACTAACAACAACATAGAAGTCAAACTGAGAAAAGCAACACTTTAGTTAAACCCGATCTGTATACGGATATTCAAGACACATTAAGCTTTTAAAAAAAATATTTCAAAAATATTATTAACAAGACAATCATTAACGTGTATAACCGACCACTTGCAATTTCCTCTGAAATTCCAGACCACACCCTCTGCCAAGTTTAATTATACTTAGTATCATAGTTTTCTTGCTTGACAAAAATACAAATATCAGAAATTCAAAAATACTATGATTGTTTTTTTTAGAGTGATTTTTTAACGTTTTTATGTATTTTTCTTCACAAAAATGGATTTGGACCTATAAAACGTGTTTATGAAAAGGGATATTTTTTTTTTTATTTTTCAGTAACAGCTATGTGTGCTAGTGTTTTCACGCTAGTGGCAATTGCAGGAGACAGATTCTTTGCCATAGTATTCCCGTTAAAATCACGAGTGACTCAGAGAAAAGTTAGTGTGATCATTATTGTCATATGGTTGGCCGCCATTGCGATTGCACTTCCGGTTCTGTTCTTTTATGCTTACATGGAGAGGCCATGGAAAAATTTTGTTGAAAAGTACTGCACAGAAGTCTGGCCCCAAATTTTACAGAGTGATGGAACTTGTGATCAAGGAAAGAGTTCCCGGAAAGCTTACTGGATTTGTTTGCTGGTGGTCCTAAACTGGGTTCCCATGCTTTTAATGATGATTGCTTATACCGTGATATTCATAAAATTAAGGAAAACTCGGAGGGTTTCTAAAACCGGGCGACTTTCAATGTCTGTCGTCCAACAGAGGTCGAAAAAGAAGGTATATTTGTACAATGTATTTAAAGAATAATATATTCTAATAATTTATGAAACTTCACACAAATTAATTCTAGTACAAAAATACCCCCCCCCCCCAAAGTTAAATATCTCAAAACCAGAAATTACCTTAGAGTGGATGGAAAATTTACACCACCATGTTAAAATTTTAGTTTTAACAACTTTCCTTGGTTACTGTTTATTTACAAATTTCATACATTTTTTCTTTTTATATACAGTATATTTTATATTTAACGAGATATTTTTCTTGGAGATTTTCTTTTTTCTTTTTTTTTTGATATAATATCTTAAATTCCAGTGATGGACAAATAGAAATAAATAAAATTCTGTATACGTAAAGTGCATTTTACGACACCTTCTTTCGTGAAATATGGCAGCAATACTTCAACACAAGAACTCTCAAATTGTATTTTTATTAGTGGTGGACTATGTAATACACCCGAAATTGAAATTTATGGCAATTGGGTTATTTTGCATATACCAGTATAACCAAACACAATCCATAGACTTTTGGAGTACAAAATCAAACATGTTTCTTTACTTTTAACGGAAAGGTCGGCATATTTATGCGTAGTCTGTACTTATACAAGATGTTTTCACACGACTCCAAAAAAGTAGGATCTTTTTTTTACATATAGAAAAAGGGTGGTGTGTACTTAAAAGATAAAGTCATTTAAACGTTCTGGAAATAGGGTGCGAGAGGTTCTAGAAAGGGTACCCCCTCCCATAAGCTACAATTTTTTGTGATAAATGGTTATCATTTTTGTGGGTTCTGGTGCATTCTGAAAGTAATTTTTAAAATTCTAAAAAAGCAAATCTAACAGCATTTTCCGAGTATTTTTAAGGGTTGCAGATGCACGCCTCACCTTCCGACGGCCTTGATATTTGGACAGTTGAACTAAATTTTTATTAGATATGATAGAATCTGAAGATTGATTACTAGTACTCATTTTGCTCCCTGATTGAAAAATTACATAAGCTTACTGGAAGTACTACACAAAATCAAAAGGCTCTGTATCCGCTAACAAAGCAGTTCGTGCATAAAAGGCTTATGATCAGGTAAAAACACACAGGATAAATATTTAAGTCCTCTTTCACATGTTTGTAAATGACTACCTCTGAATTTGTAGGTTGTGAAGATGCTGTTTGCAATTCTGGTTGTTTTTATCTTCTGTGTGGGTCCATTTCAAGTCACAAAGCTTTTCGAGTTCTTTAGGGATGATACCTCAGAAAGCGTAAGTCTTTTTTTCTCCTTTCTTCAATTAAGACAGCAAGGCGACAGCAAAAATTTGAGGCAACAGTATTAGCTTAAAATTTTGCAAAGTAATGCTTCAAGTTCAAACTAAATTTCGACTTAGTTCTAGTTGGGTGAATGCCATGGTTATCGTCGAGGCAGATCATAAAGCTATTCATTATATATTCCAAAATATATATTAAAAAATCGTTTAGTTTTGTTTGAAAACAGTTCCATAGATAGTTTATATTTTTTTTTAATTTGTAGCTACCAGACTGGTACAATCCTTTCTATTTTGCGGCCGTAACATTACTTTACACGAACAGCGCACTAAACCCTGTGCTGTATGGTGGACTAAACGACAATTTCAGAAACGGGCTCAAAGGCCTCATGAACAACATTTTTCGACGGAAACGGATTTTAACCAATTCCAATGGCGTCACGAGAAATTCAGTGATTTCCACTATTCCCGACAACAGGCGTGAATCCGAAGTCAATATTCTTAGTGACCTGCACATTGATCCAAAACGCAACGGCAAGAAAAACGTAAGTTATGTGAATCCAGTGTACGAGGAAAGATCGTCTTCGGATTGAAATTATCAAGAAACTTGTTATCTGTATAAAGAGAGAAAAACACACTTTGGCGAGCTACAGGTGGTGAAGCTATACATAGCTCACATACGTCTTCACCATGTGTGTTAGGATCTACTTTTGCATTGAAATCGCAAAATTTTCAATCGGCACATCATAATGAACACAAGCGATGTCTAAATTAGGACTTTTTGGTAGTAACAACAGGGAATCACAATTATCATTTTAAAGTTGTATATGATGGATGTAGGAGGTCTATAATCTGAGAATCTTTGTATATAATTTTCTTCGTAATACGATCAAACTATCATATTTTTCAACCATTTATCATGTCACTTTTCAAATTTCTCATAGATATCATAAGTAACATTTCACATTTTGTTTTACATTGTAAATATATACATGTACTTTCATTTCAATATGTTTTGTTTTGAAAAATAAGAAAATCACATCCATAATCAATTAAATATTGTTGACATTCAAAATACGATGTCCATTGTATACATGTATACGTTCTTCTATGATTTGAAACTTTGATTTACTTAAATAAAAATAAAACATGACCCTTAATCTTTGCATAGTTAATCACATTTCAATAGTCAGAGAGACCAACACATATCAACCACCGTGTGAAATACTTGTACTGTCAATACCAGTAAGTTATATTTCCCAGCAATGAAATGGTGGATGTGCCTAAAGCTGCCAAAATCAATTTTCTTGGAAAATCGGGTATCCAAGAAAATAAGGCACTTTTATATCACGCAATAGTATCTGTCTTCTTGGACAACACAGGGTTCACATTTGACACTACAGCACCACTGGAATTTACAGTCACACGTGCTGTTGATCTCAAGAGCCCTTTTCTGCACTCGATATCCGCAGGCTCGACACAAATTTCTACAGCTTTTCCGCTCAGAGCCAGGTACCTTTTTCGTCTTATGACGACGAGAACACTGTCTATTCAATGTTCCCAGAATTCCCTCAGCTTCGTTCCTATGACAGTAATTTGGCGATTGTTCTATGAAGACCAAACTACCTCCGGGCAGAACCGGAAGTAATCTGCGCTGCCTGGGGTCATTTTCGTCTTTCATTTTCTCCTGCAGGTCGAGTTGCAGTGCATGACGGTATTTTTGTTTTATGTGGCGTCCAACTTTTCGGAAAGATGCCAACTCCTTCCAACACGTTTTCAAAGTACATGAGGCTGTTGGGCCATGACATTTACACATAACACGCATTGTTCTCGTAACTGCCTGTGAAAGGAAAAAATAAAGAAAATATATATGACTTGTTAAAATTGGAACATAGAAACTTTTTTTCTTGTTTTAATTGAATTTCTGCATCTATTTTAATTTTTTTTTTTTACCTTTCTTCCTGCGTTGTTGTTATGTAAGTGCATAACTGCTGCATCATCACGTTTTGTCACTAGATTATCTAAGAGAGTCTTGGTCACTCTCCCTCCCACTTTAACATTATCACTGCAGCCACCCCAGTTCCAATCATACCCTCCTGAAAATGTACCATCATGTTACATATAATGCCGCTTTTTTCATTTTCAGTTTAGATAAGGAAACGAAATGGTACTAAACAAATTATTTAAAACTGTAATTGGAATTTTCCAATTATATTAATTAAGGGCTTATGAATGGCAAATATTAAGATTAACCCTCGCCATAAATAAATTGAATGACATTTTACTTTACTTAACTGCATTTTATTAATTATTTCATGATTTTTACCTCTTTCATCTTGCTTGGATTCATCACAACTACATACGTTATAGAAACCGGAACTACATTGGCGAGTCAAAGCGTGCATGACCCCGGCGGAAGTGATTGCTTGAACAAAGGCTGTCTCTTTTGTCGCTGAAAGTGGAGAATAATTTTTTTTGTAAAATTAAGTAACAATTTAAAAGTTTTGATACGTTCCTTAATTAGAATCGAATTTTGAAAATATAAAACTTCAATGAAAATTATGCAACAGTTTCGGTACATTTGTGTGGGAATTTTAAAAGCGGATTAATTAAAAATACACTTTTTAAAATGTTATTTCAACTTTAATTTTGGGTTGTACGCAAATATCGGTTCTTTTCAGTCAATTTCCGGAAACTGTTAACTAATATGGCCCAAGACACCATTAGGGTGAATACCACGTGATTTAGTATAATACCCTCAATATGGAGTTGAAGATTTGAGGGTTCCAGTGGATATGGACAACCAGAAATATGACCATTTTCTCTTTTTAAATGGAACAAATTGATGATTTCAATGAAGAAAACTGTTATCTATGGCAATTTCATTTACGACGTTGTGCATTGTGATTTTGATCGTGTTTTGTGGTGTTAATACCCACAATGCCTCAGAAACTGCTCATGTATACACTTACAACATGTATATACCCGACATAAGCAGTCAAACAGGTTTGTTTTATAAATTTTTATGCCTATAAAGTAAAGATAATATTTGAAATATGTCAGGTGTCACTCAAGGGTACTCTGTTTCCCTTTACTTATTACTACTGGTTGATGTGTATAGAGGTACCATCCTCTGATTTTTACATTGGACATAAGGAATAGTTATATGAATGTTGATTTCATAACAATATTTTGAATGAAATTAGAAATTAAAAAAATAAGAAAAATCTGCTGTTTTCATAGGCAATAATTTTGAAGAAATTGTGATTTTTCTTTATTTTGCTAGCATGCTTAGTCACTATGAAATAACTGTGTTAGTTTATGTAACTATAGTAGACTGGATGTGTCAGTGTATCGCCAAGGGGTTCTTTGCGCGTCACAGATACTCCATAACATATTATATATATCAGCTATAGATACATATGTACGTGTATGCAGATTTCAGAAAATGCTTCCATTACACCAGTTAATAATGAATGCGCTACAGTTTATCGGATAACTGCGTTGAAAATTTGGGAGCTAAATCGATTGACGGAAAATATATTAGTAGTTAATTTTACACTTGTGAATTATCAAATCATAAATAATCCATGCAAGCCGAAGAAGCGATCTGTTCTTTACCTCTGAAAATATTTAAAAATCAAATCTCATTTCAGATGATGCTGAAAGTAAGTTCGTATACTGGAAAAGTCTCGAGAAAGCCTTCCAGGAAAATCCCGAGGCAATCAAATCAGCTCTTCTGATAAGTTATTTGAGGAAAAGTTTTCCAACTCGTATTTACTTGGACCAGTACGGAAATCGTTACACATGGGACCGAAATCGAGGGTTTGTTCCCGTTAACCAGTATAGCAATCCTGGGTTCACAAATTATCACCAGACACCAATGTTCACAAACTACCATCAGACAGCCATGTACCCAAACTACCAAACTCGCGTACCTATGTACCAAAGACTCCCTCCCCCTGTCTTTTGGACGCAGTCTCCTCAGGGTTGGATTCCGGTCAGTTCGGACCCTTTCTTTGCTTCTTATACCTCACACCCCATTAACATTAACAACTACTGGTGCGACCCCACCGTAACAGACTTCAACAATGTTATTCCCCAGCTTTCAACGGAAGTCAGTGGTAAGTGTGTTCGAATAATTTTAATAAACGTAGTAAATAATTCTGCCATAATTCTTCCATAACTAAATTGTGCAACACATTTTTTGCTGAATGAATTACAATACATTATCATACAGATTTTTAAACGAAAAGGGTGAGTATAATTATTTGCTTCATTTTAGCGGAGGATCCTTGCATGCGTCAACAGCTTCCAGACGAATTTGGATTAGTCGCGTCCTCTGGAATGGCCGACATGTTATGTGCTCTTTGTCAAACTTTAAAAAGCATGGAGTGCGTTTGGAAATTCTGTTCTCATCCTGATGGCGTGTATAAAGTTAAACTAAATTACTGACCATAAGACCCCTGTGAGATTGAATACATACATTACTGACTATTTTGGAATACACGTATCTCGTGTATTTTGGAGGAAGTTGTATTTTTGATTTGTAAAAGAATAATATTATTATACTAGATTCGTATAAAAGTATACAAGTATCATATACATGGATGTATACGAATGTATAACGAGTGAATATTTTTGAAAAAGGAGGTTGTCTTTCCGTACCTCTAGTTTTCCCACGTTGCAACAGTGGAGCGGAAGTGATGTCACAATTCCACCTATCCCACTGAAATTGGTATTGACATTCTCGTATCGCTTTCTGAGCTCCTTGCCCGATTGCATCCATGAACAAACCATAACCCTGTATAATATATGAAAAAAAAACACCCGTAAACTGATCCTCATTTAGAAAATTCTACAAGGACTATATCATAGCATTTCAGAATAATAATTGTTAGTGCAAAATGAACATTGGTATCTTATTCTAGCACTTGTTTCACTCTTGTAATTTTATTCGCTTCATCGTGGAAAAAACGACTGAAATGATTGATGGTTGTATGGGATTGTTTGATTTTATTTCTCGGAGTTTGTTTGTTCTTAGTGTACCTGTTTGAATAAAAAATAAAACCCTACTTTTGCAGATCGACTATTTGATTTTCAAATCATTGATACTATGGTTTGGGAATATTATCATTATACTTGTCCTAGATACTGCCATATTTAACTTTGTTAACATGTTTTCAGCTCAAATAATAACCACTACACAAAGATAAAATGTATCTCATGGGTGAAGTTACCCCCCCCCCCCCTTCCTTTACATATTGAGAAAGGATTGCAAAAAAGGTTTGTCAATTAGAAAGTTTGACCATAGGATTTTCTTTCAGATCTATAAAAATAGCCCATTATAATTGATTTAGTGTCTGCTAATGGAATCTAAACTATCACACATGAAACATATTCATTACTTTATACATAGTCAACCTTTCTTTTAAATAATACAAAAAGCTGTTGCATTTTAGTGAATTATTTCCACGTATCATATAAATTACTAGGGATTTTAAATAAGCTGTTGAATGGTTTTTACATTTGTTACGGTTCCCTGGTATATGATAGGTGTGTGTGCATATAAATGAAAATTGTGCATTGCGTCTTTAAAAGGTTATGTCAGAGGTATAATAGAACAAACATTTAAGATGGTCCTAGATGCGCATTTTGCCAATAATCAAGCGTTATCTTGACAAGCCTTGATAAACAGCTGATCTTCAAGTGTCACACAAATCAAAGACGAAAAGAATAAACATTGTTTAATACCCACGATTCCACATTCTTAAAATATCTGGCAATATATGGCGTAGATAAAATCTTTTCTTTCCGCATGCTCTGAAAGTGATCGGTTTTATGAATGAATTTTGTCTTTAAAATTTTAAAGTACTGGACATCTGATCAACAGCATTATGCAAATCTGATATGAAATGAGACGTTAAGTTTTGATCAGTGAAAGAATATATATTTTCAAATCAGAATGGGCACTTTTACGGTTTTTTCCTTCATAAATCGGTAGATACAATAGATAACTACACAATGGCGATAAACAAAACAACTGTCGAACATTTCCATAAATAAGTTAACGACTCCTTTGTTTTATTCAGTTTCTTGGCAGATTTTCTAAATCTCGAGTTTTAAAAACGTCCAAAACGTATATATGTTAATGACAGTTGATTGTTATCACCCTCGGAGCATTCAACATAGGAAATTGTATACCCAGTGGGATTTTTATTGTGATGTAATGTCTATTTTCAGCCAAAAAATTATTGGTTTGTCTCCAATGAGATGCTTAATGTGAAACAAAAGTTACATCACAAACGATTTGTTGATAAATTCTACATTATCTTCTTTAAAAAGATTGCTCTGATACTAGTAAGACATCCTTTCTGTATACCTTAAAGAAAGCTTTGAGAAGCAAAAAAAAAGGAAACACTTTCCGTACGTTCGTTACACTTGGAGGTAGCAATCTCTTAACTGCAACTCCTCCTATACCACTGAATAAAATTTGATGAGACTTTCACAGAATCCTTATTACATATATAGTGCCATTATGCACCTCCTATATATATTATGGATAGATATTTGGGGTTTCCCTTGGCAAAACATGGACACTGCCATTATACTCATATGGCGGAGGTATCATTTTGTGAGCTCATTGCACACAGTATCACTAATTTAATATTCAATTTCCTCACAATGTCAGGGGTTCTGAGTCCCGAGTCCACTCGTGGACGAGGGTCCTTTCCAACGAGTGAACCTAAGAACTTTGAGCGGGAAACGTGATGAATGGTTTATGTCACTTCAGATTTACATGATCATGTAAGGAAAGTTGTTAGTGAGTGATGACCATGACATCACATTTAAGAATTGTTATATATGATGAAAGATTAATGAATAGCTATACCCACCTTGTTACTTGATGAGAACGATATTAGCGCTGTTGCGTTGTCAGTTAATATTCCAAATTTTGGTCCCGTCATCAAAATTTTATTTAAAGACCTAGTAAAAGAGCAAAGGAATTTTAGTTTTCATCTTTTATAGAATATTCTGAGGAGAGAAAAAAAGGAGAATTTTTATGGGAGAGTTTCAACATGAATCTTTTTTTCCAGAACCTGCAGAAGTAAAAAAAAATAAGGGTCATTTAATGTATGATGTGGTTAAATGAAAAATTATATTTTAAAAAAGCAGGGTATTTACATGTATTTCATTGGGGTTGTTGCACTAACTTGTTTTCAGAAAGGCTATCTCATTGTTTTCCAAAACACATTTCAGTCCCCAAATAATCGGTAATTAATTGATGTTCGCACGCAGAGGTAGGCATTGTCACCAAAACAATAAAAACAGATAAATTTGCGTCGCCGTGTCTGTTCAACAAACCTCAAGATTTCCCAAAGACCTCCAGGAATCGGTATAGGATTTTGACTTTTACATTGTCGGAGGACAGGGGACTATTTATGGGCCACGCGAATTAGATTTCTACAAAGATAAAACTATGATTGCCATTCAAGTTTGTCTGATTTACTGTGCTAGTGATAAAATAATCCTTGGTCCATAAGATATTTGCTGTGTGTTTTTGTGATGAGAGAGAGAGAGAGATTATTAAGTTAAATGTTGGTTAATTATTTTTGCAGACATAAATATTTTTTTATTTATTTTGTTTAAATGACACTTACGTTTGGATTTTTTTTAAATTTTCTTTTTAAAATGAATCAGGACTGAGTTCTGATTTTTTAATATTCATATTTTACAGTTTATACATCGATAAAGAGGCTACATTGATTAAAAAGATGAAAAAATCCAATTTCTATATGTTCAAATATTTTTTTAACTGCAAACAACTAACTTTAAGAATTGAAGGTGGTGTACATTAGCCGTATCTTCGGCTTTCAATTTATTCCTGTGAATTATTTAGATGTTTACGCACGTTCTAATTTCCGTAACGCCCGTGTCTGTGTTAAAAAATCCTATTGATAAGATTTTATTTAAACTCTCTTTAATACGCAATAGGTATGTATACAGAATTCTAATCTCCAGAAAGTTAAGTTTACATTAAAACATCGATTTAACATGGTTGAAACATCGATAAAATACATTATGAGAATACTGACTCCAAAGCGACCCATTTTATTTGATTTTTTTATATGTCCAACTCTAAATGCATCTTTTACTCAGCTTTTCGTAAAACGTCACAACAAATAATATTGAAAAAAATCGTGTAGAATTGATCAAATTTGAAAAAAAGTATGTGAGAATTAGATAGTTTTAACCAAAAAAATTTGCAAATAAAAATATAATTCTGACTTACCATGAGTTAGCCTGGTACATAAAAAATATTACAAAATATGCCCTCCAAATGTGCAGATACTTCTTCATTTTTGATCACACAGAACACATATGAACTCAAATGTAAACCGAGGGTATCATCTTCATTTTCGTTAAAAACCACAAAGCTGGGATCAAACCTTTTGGTGTTAAGAATAAAATCTGCTGTTAATTACAATGGGGCTGACTTTAAATTGATTGTTAAACATTTCTTTCTTAAAAGAGGTGTTTAGAGCTCACGGCCCGAGGAACCGATAAGGAATACCAGTTCTAATAAATGTCTGTCATCCAGTGCAGAATAGAGGGATTCGCCCGGATCATTGTCAATGGAATGGATATCACCCACGGAAATCACTTCGTCTCAATGCATGTACAAAATAGACATGTAACTTAAGCTATTTTATGAATTGTAGTGCTAGCTGGTGCTCCATGCTGGTTCCCGTGGCTATAATGATAGGTTGGTAGGGAAGAAACTGACGATAGTCTATCAGATGTAATTTTCCGGAAGTAACTAACAAGTTGACGCGCGAATCCTCGGCTAATTGGATAGATTTTCTTTGTATTCATGGAAACAAACAAGTGTCAAGACCAAACAAGATTCTTTAATACAACAAAAGAAATGGGCATGCACTCGTAAATTTTCAACTTTTTTGCCTCCAGAAACAATTTTAATGGTAGCAGACTGTGACATGCAGCTAGCTTTTCTTTGTGAATTTTTATGCTATTTGACCATAAATATTTCACTTTACATTTCATTAAATACATTTACCCTTCCTTTTCTTCTTTGTTCATCTTCAAGTTCTTGTAATTCTTTTGGTTTATTTTATCAATATATAGTTACTGATAGTTGTCTTTAAGAATGCGTAATGTACTTGTAGGTATATTGTTTTTGAAATTTCCACAAAATCTTAAACAAAACCATTTTCTTCATAGATATTATTGTAGTTTATGATTTTGAATGCACTTTTGTCAACTCTAAAATTTCCATTTGCCGAGGAATATTATTCCTCTTCATGGCTGTAGGAACCGGGGGGCACGGGGGTCGTGCCCCCCAATAATTTTGCCGATATATACATGTAGTATACTATAGAAAGCACAGCTACTATATGCTCGTGCCCCCTCAATAAAAACGTCTGCATGATGGCCTCTTTTTTTTTTTTTTTTTTTTTTTTTTTTTTTGCTTGTCAAGGATTTTTGGTAGATGATAGTACCCCCAACTGAAAATATATGGCTGTGCCCCCCCCCCCCCAAACCTGAAATTGCTTCCTACGGGCCTGCTCTTGAATTACATTGTATATAGGGACACTGAGATATGTGTCTGTAATAATTCCCTTTATGTGTCAAAATGAATTGCAAAGGTTTTAAGCTCAAAATCTGTCAACTCAGCAGGGAAGGAATACATGTAGATTATGCGGTCACTAAGTATATAGCCTTTGGTCAGAAATTAACCATGGACTATTGACTCTGCACTAAGTAATTGGATATTAACACAGAAAGTGTTTAAGACGGTTTTGAAAGAGGAACACGAGATAACTTCAAACTGAAATATGAAAAGACATATAATTGAATATAAACTTAAATTGCGATCTATCTACAACTTGCTGTAAATCTGTCAATTTTTTTTTTCAATATTGGGAACTATGTATGATCTAAGACTTAGAAATTCGAAGTCTTGTTTCTTTTTCATATATATGAGTTAAGACGTGTACATAGTAAACGATGAACAATGTACAATATACTATAGGTTAGCCTGCTGCTGCAAAGATTGAATAGCTTTTTCACTTGACCACACTCTCTACAGAAGCCCCCGGAATCACGTGAAGTTTCAGCATTTCCGACGGCAAAATGTGAGTGACCGATGAAATGAGATTTTCAGTGCACTAGTCTGAATTTCAATGTTTAAGATACTGATTTCATAAAAAAATTCATAATTTCTACTGAAGGGGGGGGGGGGGGGCGGATGGGCCTATTGAAGTTTCAGTAATTCTGACAGCTGTCTTCTAGAATTCTATCACATATAATCAAGGGTTATTATAAAATTGATTTTGTTTATTGTACATTTGTTGTATGTTATAAGATACTTAAGCAACATGTGCATGTTGTGTCTATATGTCTCCCAGTTCGCTAGTGAAAGTTCTGTGCACGATCAATTTTCAAATTGGGACAGACTTCTGACAAGTAACTTGACGTTACAGTGCTTACAACAATCTTAGCTAATTCTATAGTCGTTATATAGCCGCAGATCTGTAAATTGACTAGAATTGGGGTGGACGACCAAAGAGCTACAGTGCCACACATAGAAAAAAATGTATATTTATTGCGCACAAAAAGATGCGTTCGGTCTGCCAGTATATTTTTTTCGGGGAGCTATAGTTCTGCAGCTAGCCGATGTAATGACTTTGTTTGCAAGTATATGTATAACCTATCGTTGCCTATTCTTTGGGTCGTATTTTGACTGACATGCTTTCCACCAATTGTTAGGCCATGGTGTTCAAACTTACGAAGTTAAGTGATCCTAAAAAACTTTTATACCTTAATATTACTTTAATATATTGAACGTACGGATTACACAGTTTACCTTATCAATACAGTGGGCTTACTGTGGAATCATCATTCTTTGTGGGGACCAATGTTCGTGGGTCACTCCTTAGGCCTTACCCACGATTACTTCCCCACAAACGATGTGTTTGTCGGTGCATAGCAGCACCGAACCCTCTGTATAAACGAGTTTTCCAGTAAATTACTTCCCCCCCCAAAAATCAGTAAAATTTTGGTTGCCTGCGAACATTTACCTCCACGAATTAAAATGCACAGTGCTCCTCGGAGGTATCTGGTCCCCACCAACTCTCGTGTTTACAGGAGGCTTGTGTTTTTGTCCCGTTTCCCTTTGTACTGTTTTTTAGATCACTTAACTTCGTCATCTTCACCTTTTTCAATGAACAGACAAACCAAAGGCAAATAAAAATTTCATAATAAAGACTTTATTTATGACTATAATATAGTTATGTAGATTCGTAAAAATTAATAGATGATCTGACGGGAAAAGTCTTCAATAAATGCAAAATATGGTCCATCATGGCATTATCTGTGAGCATGGTTTATTGGAAGAACTTGGAGAAAATGTTGAAAGAACTTGGCGAAGTTTAAAGAAAGACCTTGGAAAAAATTAGTGGAAGAATCGGGAGAACAATCCAGGACCTCTTTTCTTTTTTCCATTTTCCTTCTTCTACGAAATGAAAAAAAGAGAATAGTTAATATCTACAAATCATGCCAAGAATTTACTCAAGTATTCAGACAGAGATGATACCGTAAACCACGCTTGTAGCCAAATGCTAAAGACATAATTTTGATTCGTTTTAAACGTAATTGGTAACCCGTTCTGAAACCACAGGGAATAAAAATCACTTTGCTGTCAGCGTGAATTTGCTATAAGCGTGCTTGCTATAACAGTGTTTTACTGTATCAGATAAATGTCTACTTAAATTTAATGAAAACGCAAGATTGAGTTTTATCCAAGTTGTATACAATGCAGGATCCGATAATACATGTTAAATTTATAAGTTCGATACATTGAATTGACTTACATTTCTGTGTAGAAACTTCAAAGGCAAATTCCATTTGCTTCCTTTCTTGCTTATCTGTGGAAACAATTCATAAATCATATATATGTTAACTGTTCTTGATTTAATTGTAAACTGTTATTACTAGTAATTGTTTAAATCAAATGGCAAAATTGAGTAAGGAATAAAAAAAATAAACGAATACATGTATTAGACTTATAAAATATAATTATAAAGTATCTCTTTACTGAAACAATTCTTCAATGTGTTAAGCACAGGCACTTGACGTTTTAAAACTTTCTCTTTATTTATTGTTAAAAATATCCCCATACTATAATTATAGTATGGGGATATTTTTATCAATAAAGAGAAAGGTTTAAAACGTCAAGTGCCTGTGGTGTTAAGTACTAAGAATCTAAAATATTCTTAGGAAATATATACCTGTTCCATCTGCTGTTCTGTTTCCATGAGGTTTGTCTCATATTCCAGGCGACTTGTATCTGTAGTCAGCTTAGTTGGGATGCTCTGGGAGCAGATATCAACCAATGACAAGGGGTTCTAAAAGTAAAAACCCATACAAGATCAACTCCCCAAATTTGAAGATGCTTTCATTTGCGTTTGCTTGTGTACAAAAATTTGGTTTTATAATGAGAAATGTCAAAAAATCACGTACGTGTGCCATTAAGACCTCCAAACGGTATACTGTGGGTTGTAACATTAGTTTTATATACGGATTCACATCCTCATCCTGCAAGTAAATAAAACGTCAATTGTAATATTTGATTTTTGATGTCAATGCTTAATTAACATCTGTGCAGTATCTTATTTCAGATTTGTTTTAAGAACATTTTTAACAAATGTTTAGAACATCTATATACATATACTTACTTCTAACTCCATGGTGCCATTTACACGAGAATCGACTGTGCATTCCTTATGCCCTCCGTCCTTATTTTCCTCCTATTAGAAAAATTAAAATCAATAAATAAACTATGAGAGATCAAATTTATCCCCATTTCAAAATCAAGCCCACCATATATCTTTTATACAGTGAGAATTAAACTTGTAGTCGAAATATCACATATAAATTTATGTCAGCTCACAAAAAAAAAATTAGTGATAACTTGAAAATAGAAATGTATTAGAAGGAGTATAATAGTAACTTACGATCACCGTGTCGAGTCCAGGGGTGTAATCATTTCTTTTTCGCCACTCAAATTCGTAACAGGCATGAATAGTATCGTCACCCACAAATGGCTGAAATATAGATTACGTGATTTATAATTCATCCTTCGTGATTAAGGAAAGGTAATATTCAATTTTTTATTTAATATTTTACTTAAATTATCTTATTGTAAGACTGTAAAAAGGGAGAAGATTTTTACTTCAAGGCATGGTAGCTGTCGGCCCAACCAACCAAGGTACTCTTCTCCGCTAGCAAATTCTGGTTCAATGTCTTCTTCGCTATTATCTGCTGATAAGTCTTTCATAAGTTCTTCTTCCTGGAGAAAGTTTACGAAACGTCAGTGAAATTTCGACAGCAGTTTTTTTTTTTTTTTTTGAGAATTGAATGAACTTGAATATGAAAACGTGACGTATTTCAAAAGTAATATTTCATTTTTTGAATTAGAACATAATTAAAATGACTCACAAAAAGTGTGTCAAGCCACGGCGTGTATCTGAAATCATCACGACTCCATTTACGGAAGAAATACTGATGAACTTCATCTTCTGGTAAAAATGGCTATAAAAGAGAAAGAGGAAAAAAGGTAGTTTTCAAATCCGCCATTAATTGTTATAGTAAAAGTATATTAATTTACATGATAAACAACACACGATGTGTTAATATCGTAATCATTCATTTATTTTTTCATTATAGAAACGTTCTTTCTGCTGAATTTTGAATAGGATTATTCTATATTTTACTTACTTCAAGATAAGGAAGTTTTCGCTCCAACCAGTCCAGATATTCTGTTCCGCTGGCAAACTCTGGTTTAATGTCCTCTCCAGTTTTTCCTTTGTACGATTCTTCTTCTGTTTCCTCCTTGAAAAGAATGGAATGTGAGTTAATACAAATTAATACCGTAGTTGTTCTAAAAAAGTAATTTGCAAAGTATATTTATAATAAAGATTTATTTCTAAATCAGTCCTGCCGCTTTTAAAGTAGGGCCCACCATGTACATGTACATGTATCTGTCATATACTGTAAATTTTGAATTTATCGGGTGGCAGTATATACAAACATTTTGAAATATGACGTAATTCTCGATTAAAAAATTCAATTACACACAAAATTACTGATATCTTGGAGGAATGGAGTAACTTACAATCACTGTGTCGAGTCCAGGGGTGTAATCATTTCTTTTTCGCCACTCAAATTCGTAACAGGCATGAATAGTATCGTCGCCCACAAATGGCTGAAATATAGAATTACGTGATTTATTATACATCCTTCGTGAATATGAAAAATATCATATTATTCATATATATAAAAACATCAAATTAAAAAAAAAATAGTATCCAATTTCTGTTTATTTTTTTTTTATTATTTTTATGCTTTTTTTAGATTTAGAATTATCTGATTGTATGTAAAATTACGAGAAAGGAAAAAAAACTTACTTCAAGACATGGTAGCTGTCGACCCAACCAACCAAGGTACTCTTCTCCACTAGCAAATTCTGGTTCAATGTCCTCGTCGCTATTCTCAGCTTTTAGATTTTTCCCGGGGTCTTCTTCCTGGAAAAATGATAAAAACGTGAGTAAAAATCATTCGATTGCAGCGAAATTTGAATAAACTTGAATACAGAGAAAAAGTTACTTATATTTTGATTTGATAGTAACAATTTATAATTTGAATCATCTAATAATGTAATGGAAAGAGGATTACTAAATGTGTTTCCAGACAAGGCGTGTAATATCTGAAATCATCCCGACTCCATCGACGGAAGAAATAGACATGTTCTGCGTTTTCTGGTAAAAATGGCTATAGGAAAGATAAAAATTCCAATCTATAACTGAAGCTTATTTACAGATTGCAAATGATAATATTATACAATCTTTACATCTTTTAAAGATTATGGCCGAAGTTTACATTTATACTATGTATGTATACTATAAGTGCAGTTATCAAATGTTCAAATTACTTTTATTTATAAATTTATCTGCAGAATTATATAACAGATTATTTCTACCTTTAATTTACTTACTTCGAGGTAAGGGAGTTGTCGATCCAACCAGTCCAGATATTCTGCTCCGCTGGCAAACTCTGGTTTTATGTCTTCTTCGATGTTTCTATTGGTCAATTCTTCCTTTGTTTCCTCCTTGAAAAAGACGAGCTGTTAGTTTATAATAACGTTATTTTGTTAAAGAGTTTTGTTGTTGAGAAAAGTAATGTACTAAGTGTACTAGTATTAAAAGATATGTCATTAAAGTTTGCCTTTTAAGTATATCTACGTGATTTTGGCGCAATTGAATATTGCAAAACGGAAAAAAATATTTTCGTGATCATTGTATCGGCGTTGTAAAGGTTTTCAAAATAAACTAAAATTATTATCTTATAAAAAAATCTTCATAGCGGCATTTCACCTTATGTAAGACTATTTTTATCATACCTTGACTGTGTCCAATTCATCTGCGTATTCTTTGATCCTCCACAGCTCTCTTGCTATGGTTGCATCGTCCGGTAGATAAATCTGAAAATACAATAGAGTTATTAATCGAAACAACGATCTTTAATTGTGACTTGTGTTGAAAGTAAAATTTATTAATAAAAATACACCATACAGTCTCTATATGAAATAAATGGAAAAAGTAAAAATTACCTTTAAGATATTTTCTGGTATGTCAGAGAAATTGTCTCTGCTTAAGCTGTTCTGGGATATATTTGCAATTTCTTTCCTTGTTTCCTATAAATGTATGACAAGTTTTTACGATGACTGCCAAAAATTAACGGAATTTGTGAAATTAAAACATGCAGTCATACCAAATTATTCGAAGGGGAAATACATCTTCGCTAGCGAAGATGAGGGGAAATATTACTACCATGTATCTACGCTCTTCTTTAAGCTCCAATTCCTTTTTGAATCCAGTCATATTATTTGGAACAGCTGCCTAAAATCAAAGGACAATGATAAGTAGGATAATCATTAAGTATATTCAACTTACACACACACACCCTCACACACACACACACACACACACTCTCTCTCTCTCTCAAAAAAAAAAAAAAACAAACAAACAAACAAAACAAAACAAACAAAACAAAAAAAACACGTAAAATCGTTGACTTACTTTTGTCTGGCTCAGCCTGTTATTCAAGCTCATCAGAAATTCTCCACCATTTCTGTATTCTATTTCTTCTTTCACATCCTAGAAAGAAGAAATATTATTTTATATACAATGTTTAACACTTTTTTGAAATTCATATTATTTTGCAAAATAAACGTTTGAGTTACCATCGTTTTTGCTTTCGATAAGTTGTCTGCTTTGTTGTCTTATAGCAAAGCGATTATGACGTCATAGTGAAAAAGCTCCATCATAGAAACCTAATACCCTTCCGTTTTCACACCCGATTAGAATTTTGTGGTGTATACAAATATTTTTTTTTATATTCATGGAGGTAAAAATTAATTTCCCTCATGAATACTCAACACAAATAAAAAAAAAGCTAGAATAATTAACTTTAGTCTATTTTTTTGTTTCGTAATTTTAATTTCTCACTGCTTTCTACATATAATCAGAGACATAATCTAAATCATCAATTTTTTAAAAGTCGTTTTAATATTGAAATGAATATTCATAGATATTAAAGTTTCGATAAATATCGTTAAAAAGACGTTGGTGAAATATTACTTACCATTGTTTTCATCTGACTTTAAAGTAAATGGTGAAATTTTAGATTCAGCTCTGCGTTCTTGCATTAGAAGCAATTATGACGTCACAGTGCGCAACGTCATTGTGCTTTATTCAAACCCGATATAAAATAATCATTGTGTTGACGGTAATGTATTCACTTAAATTTAAAATCTTGACAAAAGTAAAACAAGAAATGTTTTAGAAACATATATTCCCCTCGTGTGGCAATATTAAAAATATCAAGAATGTCTCAATTCAGTTCTTTATTCAAAACCAGATCGATATAGACAATATAAACACAAATAGGAGAGACAATGACCAAAATAGACAAGTATATAACGAAAAAAGGAGGGAAAAAAGAAAAGAAAAAGTTAACATACCATCAATTATAGAGGGTTCAGGAAGGAAGACAGTCTTGAAAATTTTCTTAATAATAGAGAAACGTCGATAGTGAAATAAATGGGTTGTGTACTAGTGAGGGGCCAAACCTACTTCGAAGTTAGATCTCTTTCATAGCTCGGTATCATTAGGAGCAATTTACGAGGGGTGATCAAAAAGTTCGCGAACTATCTCTATATTTACAAAACAACAATTCAGATCAGAATCAAATTTGGCACACATAAAGTCATGCACATGTTCTATAAATAGCATATGTAATGGAACGTTGATCCCCGTGTTTGTGACGTCACAATGTAAAAATGACGTCATAAGGTAGATCACTTGTGACAAAATATGGTTGACTCAGTCGTATTCGAGACACGAACGGATGTAAAGTTAAACGTATATCTTGGAAATTCTTTTGTAGAAGTTTATAATAATTTGTATACGGTTTATGAAGACAAAAGACTTGCCAGAAGTTTTGTCATTAATTGGATTAATTGTGTGAGTGAAGGAAGCGAGATGTTTAAAAATGATGTTTGTTCTGTTGCCCAGTGAAAACAAACTTGGAGAGAGACCTATCCTTTGTTAAGCAATTTTATATAAAAGATCGACAACTTACAGTTAGAAAAATAGATGAATATCTTTTCAATAATATAATTATCAAATCCCTGAAATATCGTTTACTTTAGACTTTAAACATATCAGATATGATAAAGTGAAGGCACCCATACATTATCCACATGAAATAAACGACGCTCAAAAGACAGAGGATTTGGGTTTTGATGGTCACCATGCTCATTCTGCAAAAGGATATCATTATCCACCCATACTGTTTCAGGGATTAGGCCATTTCTGACAATTAGACTGTTTTTGTTGGAAAAAATAACTTGCATGGTTAAAATATAAGAGTCGGAAAAAATTTTAAGCTTCTGTGACAGAACGCTAAGGAGCATGTCACGTGACCGCCTATATCACGTGATCCGCGCATGGGCAGAATAGTTGCAGATGCGCATTAAATTCGGAGAGGACTATTTTGAAACATTTTCAACAATGAAACCCTATATCATTTCTTTTTTGGAAGTTATTCAATTAGTTCGCGAACTTTTTGATCACCCCTCGTACATTAAGGATTCTCAAGGTACTGAGCGGTTCTGTTCAGGTTGACCCTTGACATTTGACTTTGTGACCACAAAATCAAGAAGGGCCATCTATATTCCTTTGAGGGAACAGATGTACAGATTTTATACTTTGATGCTTGTCAAGCAAAGGGTTCTAAAGATATTGAGCAGACAATATTTTTCTATGTCCAGAGTTATCTAACCCTTTAAAAGGGATCATCTACTTTTCAGGGAGTACCATTGTATCAAATGTGATGTCTGTCAAGCTTGTTTTTTGTTTCTTTGTTTGTTTTAGTGGGGTAGTATTTCTATTTACTGTGATGATCTTTTTTTTTTTTTTGTTTTAATAAATTCTTCATGCAAAGGGTCTTGACATCATTTTTGACATCTTGAAGTCTGCAGCAGACAAGACGTTAACGTGATTTATAAAAGAACATATCCAAGTGTTATATGGTCGTAGCAGACCCCATGAAATTCTAAGATATTCATTAAGACATTGAACTGAATAGAGCAAAGACTGCATGTGTATCTTTTTTTTAATCCCAAAACAATCTCAAAGGCTTTTACTAGACCTTGAGAATTGTTTTAGAGAAAATTAAGAATTTTTAATAATATTCTTTCCAGTTCTATTAAAAAAGAAATTACCACCCATATCCTGCATCATTAGTATCAAGTGCTTAGGAAAAATCTTCAAAACATACACTTTTCTTAAATGTTTAAAAATACGCATATTCATTCAGTTTGTTTGCGTCCATTCGAGAATTGTTTGCCTTCATATTAAAACGTCACCAATTGCAGATGGAAGGCTGCAAATTTTGACCTGTACTCGGCACTTATGGATTCAGCATTGAGGAATCTTATTTCCGTGGTCAGCACCTACTGTGACACGAGTCTCAGTTTCTACAGTGTCATCCGAAGGACAGGCCTCAAGTAAATTCGAGCCCGCGACGCAAGCTGTGCCACGCGGGTGACCATCCATTCAGTATTGCGTCTTTACAATAAAATCATTATCATTTTCTATAAAACCTGCTTGAAATGTACCGAGAAGCTCATCAACATGCAAGTAGTTTACCAAGCTGTGCATGTAATTCTGCTGTTCTTGAGAATTTTTATTTTAAACTTTGACCCCCTATTCTGCCCCCAACACTGACCCCTATGATGATCTGCATGATTTCAAAAATTTGAATTTTGAATTTATGCTCTTTTAAGAAAAGCTAAAACTTTTGTTAAACTTCCTTAAAATCTAGGAAAAGGCTTTTACGCAAATTTTGGTTTCCCTGATATTTTGAAATGACATCACCATATTACATGCATCTTCATTTCTTAAATTTCTTCATCATATTCTCTTGGAAGAGAGTGTAGCTCTATATTTGAACAAACTTAAAATCCCCTTGATCCAAGGATGCTTTGTTGCACGTTTGGCTGAAATAAGCCAAGTGGCTCTGGTGAAGATGCTGAAAATTTTAAAAGTTTACAGACATTACAAAACAATCTGACCCTGGATCCTCTTGGATAAGAAAAGCTCACTTTAGCCTTTGGCTCCAGTGAGCTGATAAAACCAAAACAAGCACGACTGAATGAGTGGTGAAATTTATTTATCTAACAATATTGCTGTAATGTGTACATGAGTTGAGGAATGCATCATGTTTTGCTAAAGAATTATCATATATATTAAGAAAAATTGTACATTTTCATTAAGAGTATCTATAATCAAATAGACTTCAAATCAATTGGAAAAAAATACATATCTTGGAAACAAAGATAAACCCATTTTCTTTTTTTACAAGATTTGTGGATCTGAAACTAAACCACCCAACAATAAAAAGTTATATAACATTAAAAACGACCACTTATAAGGAGCAAGGGGTGACTAGGTGTTGATCACAGTGTCTAGTTGTAAAATAAATTCATATTACCCCCCCCCCCCCCAAAAAAAAAAGATATTGCAAACCAATTATTTTACTTTAACAATTACATGAGGCTTTTTTAAATACCAGATTTTTAGTAAGTTTAATTCATAGAACAGCTGAAGAAACATTTTGTGGTTGTCTTCCATTGGCATTGCTAAATAAAGATTAATTTATCAGTAAAATATGAACAGCAAATCCAAGTGCAAAACCCACAGGAGCTGTAAAATTCCTGGACTTTCATGTCTTCTCCCACATAAAAAAATTGTGTATTACCATTAAAAAACTTTTCTATTTTGGTTCAAAGGTATCATAGGAGAAAAAAAAAACTTGAAAGTTTAAAGCAAATTAAACACTTCAGACCAGAATTTACATGTAATGGACGGTAGAATGAGACTAATTAAGGAATAAAATTTGATTGAAAAAATATGACTGTTAATAAAAAAACAAGAGGCCCATGGGCCACAATGCTCACCTGAGTTACTTTGGCCCTGCTGTTCTTCACAAGACCTCCCCTTTGTAATATTTATTGCGGCCCCGCCCTAGCCCTGGGGGCCATGAATTGAAGAATTTAGAATCTACACTACCCAAGGATGCTTCCACGTAAGTTTCAGCTTTTCTGGCCCAGTGGTTCTTGAGAAGAAGAT